CCTACAGTTTAGGTGTCGAGGCCAGATTAGAGTTACTTAGAGGAGGGGCATTCCGTGAAAGGGCCTGGAGCTCAGGGATGGGAGTTGGGGGTGGGGGGATCCTGAGCCCCTCTTGGAATCTGGCTTCCGTGATTGTCCATTTAGTCCCCAGAGAAGCCGAGGCATAGAGTGGGGTGGGGTGTGCCATGTAAGAACTCACCCTGGAGGCATCAACACCTGGAGAGGGGCCTCTCACCTCCTGCTGATGGTTTTTCCCACCAGGACGGTGTCCTCTGAGGCTATCTCGGGATAGCCTCCTCTGAGGTTCCTATCTCCGGATCCCCACCTTCTCCTCCCAACTCACTTAGAGAGGCAGTAAGGGGAAAAAAGACTCTTGATAATTTATATAAGCTGTCACACCTCTGTATCATCTTGTATCATCACATGCCGAGGGGTGGGGCTCCCTGGGCTGGAATGGGTCCTGGTGCCAACCAGTATCTCTTGAGTAATTGACTCAGGGAACTGACTCAATTATTTAGACAGAGATATACCATCTGGTCTGGTTTTTTTTTTGACCCCCCAAACTCTCATCACTTTAGTCCTATTTTGTGCAAACAGGAATGAGCTCAAGGAAACTGTAAGCAAGCACCACTGACCAAAAGCTAAATCATAAGGAAAATAATAATAAGTTACAATTAGGGGATTAAAGCACTGTTTTGTCTCACATTTCTGCCGCTTCCCTTGTCATTTCACTCACTAAGCAGCACTGATCTCCCCTCGGAGCAGATGCTGGGTTGAGGGAGGACGGTCATCCATATGTGACAGGAATTTGGGATCTGGGATGGTATCTACTGCAAGATCTCCAGCCACCTTATATGTGTCAGCCACAGCCAGTCCCTCACTGACTCTGATTCATACACCAATTCACTCATCCATCCATTCATTCATTTATTCAATACCAAGCTTCTACCCTTTGCCAGGTGCTGGTGCCAGGAGGAAAACAGTCCCTTCCCTGAAGGAGTTCTCAGGATATAGCGTGCATTACCCCAACTCTCCCTCTCCCAGCCCAGCTGCCCTGAGCACTGTTCTTGTAAGAACCTGTGCAATCCAGCAGCCCTGCTATCCCACCACTGTCCAGAAGGTGGCAGCAAACAGGCCAAGAGAAGCTCAAAAGGTGACCAGGCATGGAGGGCAGACTGGGAGGTGGTTGGTGATTACCTGAAGAGGAAGTTCTGCCGTTTTTTGGAAAGGACCTACTGCACATCCATTCAAGGGGATAGATGCCCCAACCTGACCACAAGCTGTGATGTGCACTCAATGTGAATTGACAAGGATATTTGGTTCCAAGTAATAGAAGGCCCTGGGAGATGGCTTAAAACCAGCATGCAGGAAAGCCGAGGACAGGGCTGCAGCTGCGCCTCCGGAATGGACCAGAAACAGGGTTTATCGTTTCTCATCTTGGCAGCTTGTGTGGCGGCCCCATTCTTGTCTGTCCGCCCACTGGGCTTTCCCATTCCTCAAAGTGGCTAACAGGGCCATAGCAGGTTGGAACTTACCTGTTCCAGGCCTAGCCAGCCTGGAAGGAAGGAAGACTTCAGAATTCCAGGGAAAGGGACTTGCTGGATCAGCTCAGCTGGGGTCTAGTACCTTCCCTGGCACCAGTAAATGATGACAATCTGCAACCACAGTGCTGGGCGGTTACTGTGGGAGAATTACTAGGAACTGGGAGACCCTCCCCAGTAGAAATCTCCTGGAATGAGTCTGGGTTTGCCAGGCCAGCCACAGAGAATGTTCTGTATCCTTCCATGGACCATTGTTGAATAGGGTGAGCTGCCAGGGTGGTGGGCACTGCTCCAGCCTCACTGGAGCAGGCGATGTGGGTGTCCCAGCCCCAGCCCCATGGCACTCACCTTTCTCGTGCACTCAGCTTGAGGGCTGCAACCCTGTGGGAGGGAGTGGCCCTCTGCCCAGGACTGACTGATGGGAGGGGGTGGATCAATCCCCCAGCTCCTGCTCCCGGCAGGGGAACAAATCTGGAGGGTCCAACACTGAACTCCCAAAGCCCCCCGGGGGGACAGGGCCCCAGGTGCCCAGAGCAGTGACCTGTTTGATTATGCACCTGGACCGGCTGCCTTCCCTCCCTGTCTTCCTGGAATCACTGTACTGCTTTATACCCCCAAATCCCGGATCTGGATCTGCTGCGGGGGACCCAACCCAAGCCCCCTGTAGTCTTAACACCCAGATGAGCAGGGAGGAGCCTTTAAGAAATGAGCACACACTTTTCCATTCAATTCTGTCTTTTTCTCTAAAAATAGAGCTCTTTATTTAAAACACTTTAGGGTAGACGCCAACAAGAATTAGGGAATTATTTAAATATGATATAAACAAAATTCAAAATAAATACAAATATCTAAGAACAATATATAATCTTCTCAGTACTCCGAAGAATTATACTGTTGCTTTTACCTAAGGCAGCACCCATGTTTTACCCAATGGCCTTCAAGGGTGGTCCTGGGGCTTCTGCTCTGCAGTTCCCAGCCCCCGTGTAGGCGCAAGGGCTTTGTAAACAAACAGTGAAGTGCTGAGCACACTCGACAAATTATTACATTGATGACCATGCTCTTCGTTAATGCTTCCCACCATTTTTCATTAATGACTTAATGACTTTAAAGGAGCTGAAATTTAGAATTACTAGAGAGCTCAGCTTATCTCAGAAATTAAACTTTGGAAAAAATGCTTAAAAAAAATAGCAAAGTTTAAGAATAAAGTGGTTCCTTCACACAAGCCTAAGACCATAGCTTTTCGTTTTTCGAAATTACCTCCATGAAGCAGCTCGGCTGGGTTCCAGAAAGAACATCAGCCTTGGTCTGCGTCTTTTCCTGGGAACTGGCCCTGAGCCACAGCCCTCTCCAGTTCCAGGGTTTGTTCTTCCTCGCCTGTGCTCAGTGAACAAGCCTCAACCCCTGTGGAAATGTACACACATGTGTGTGCGTGTGTGTATGTGTGTGAGGCCCAGCAGTGGTGAAGGCCTCCTGCCAGCTTAGTGCCCTTTGGAAATCCTGGCTGAGACCTCGGCACTGAGTTGACATGGCCCAGGGCACAGGGGTTGGCCCAGCTGGATAGAGACCAAAGATCTCACCCTTAGGGACATACATAGTAAGTTACCATTTCAGCTTCTTTGTCTGCAACAAAAGACAGGTGTTCAATTTAAAAACTGGCTTGCTAACTTTTTCTTTAGCAGTGGAACTGCCAAAGCACAACCTCACGTGGGCTGCCTCTGTGGTTGAAGTCAGGGAGTCCTACAGCCCATGGCCCCCCTGCAACTGACAGTCCTCCCCACAAGACCCAAGGCATTTTGGGAACATGGTTTGAGAACCCCCCCGACCAGATGCCCTCGGGAAGCTTTTCCAGATCTTTCATTTAATTCTATACCCTCATGTTGGCTTCAAACAACACAGCTCTGTGAGTAAAATGGCTACTAAGATGCTTTCTTCACAAATGGAGAAATATAAATCCTGGCAGGTGAAATAGCAGGCCCCAGATCAGAGCCAAGATTGTTCAGATCCCCGGCCACAAAAATGACAAAAATCTGGGTCCCTATTGGCGAAAACTCAGCGAGGCTCGTCCATGTACCAGTGGGTGTAGGTTAACAAAGCAGTTGTTTGAGAACACTCATCGTACCCCCAGGTAAGGACTATCACCTGTTTCCAGAAGACACTGGTTTCTCATAACTGGAAGGGAAAATGGGATTTCTTTACAACCACAGTCATCAACCAAAGGGTCTAAAGTTCTGTCTGAAATAGGGGTCACAGGTCCAGGAGTCCAATGCTCTGCCGGGTCGCTACCCCACCCCCTGGAAGGTGGACTGTTTGGTTCTTCCTTTGCTGGGAAGAGAGGGACCAGGGTCCCCCTTGGCTGGGCTCTGGCTTCTGAGAGCTGAGTTTTCTGATGGGGGGAGGGGTTGGCAGTGAGGGTGGAAGAAAGGAGGTAGACTAGAGGCGAGATGAGCTGAGAGGTGACTGCTTCCAGTTGCTCTGAGGGTAAGGGTCACAGGGGGGAGATGCCCAGCGGTCTCCTCAGAGCCTGGGTGGATGGAGAATACTACTAGCCACCAAGTGGAGGGAGCCAGTGACGTGGCAGGCACCATGCTACACACATCTCCCTCTTGGAACCTCACCACACCCCAGGTGGCAGTTACAGATGAGGAAACCAAGGTACAGAGAAGGAAGGCAGCTTACCCAACGTCACACAATTTGTAAATGGCAGAGCTGGGATTTGAACCCAGGTCTGTCTGATATTAAAAACTGTGCAATTCTGGGTCTTGCCCTGTGGTCCAGTGGTTAAGTTTGGCGTGCTCCACTTCAGCGGCCCGGGTTCGGTTCCCAGGCGTGGGCCTACACCACTCGTTGGCAGCCATGCTGTGGCAGTGACCCACATACAAAATAGAGGAAGATGAGCACAGATATTAGCTCAGGGCCAATCTTCCTCAGCAAAAAACAAAACAAAACAAAAAAACTGCAATTCCATGACTCAGAGACTGGGATTTGAATGACAACGACCCTTACCTCTCCCTTCCAACACCCTCAGCTAACTGGATTTTTCCTCACTAGGACCCATCCTAGGGGACTCATGAATCAGGAGGCCGAGACTTGGGGGAGGAGGGAACTCAGTGGGTGCTGGAGAAAGGCACGACTCTGATACAGATGTGCCTCCAAATTCCCTCCCCCAACAAATCCAGATGGCCCCTTGTGGTGTCAGCTCTTGATTTCCACCATGACCTGACCTCACCTGTTTCACGTTGCCCAGGGATGACTTTTCCATATGGCCTGTCAGCCCAGGGACAATGCGGTGATCTGACACCCGACCAGCCTCTGACCTCAGCCCATCCTTGTCTCCATCCATCCCAGAGCTCAGTCCAAAAGCCGGTTGGTCATAGGATGGGGTGTCTTTTTAGAGCTCAACCCCACTGGCAGACAGCCTCTAGCTGGGGCTTCCCGAAGAGCTGCCAGAACCCTCTGCACCTCAATGATGATGCTCGCAGGCTCTCAAGTCTCGGTGGCATCTTGGGTCCTTGGGAAGCTCAGCAGCACCAGACTTAGTGGGAAGCCAGGGGACAGTCACCTGGCTATGTAATGCCCCAGTGTACTGCCCCTGACCTCGGTGCTCTGGCAGCTGTCAGCCCCCCCGCTGCCGGCACTGCTGTCCTCAATTTCTGATTCCATCCCACCCTCTTCTTCTTCCTCCTCCTCCTCGGGGCTGCTGTCCCAGCAGAAGGTCAGTGTCTGAAGGGAAATTGGGGGCTCCCCGGGGATGAGCTTAAGCCCTGGTGACGAGGAGCCCCAGCTGGCCCAGGAGGAGAGATCATCTCTTGGGGGCTCTTCCAGAGAACCCAAGTCCTCGGATAATTCGGATTGTGGGAGGGGCTCCTGACACCTGTCCACACCCGGCCCTTGGCCTGGCCCCTTCTTGGCCAAATAGCCAGAAGAACCAGCCTCTTCCCAGGGCGACGAGCCCCCACTGCTGGCACAGCTTGTGTCTGAAGAATCCCAACCAGGGGAGCCTTCGGCCTGGACCAGAGCTGTCCCTGCCTCAGAGCGTCCCGGGATCTGGTGCTCCTGCCCCAGGAAGGAAGGTGGCTCAAGGTAGGGCTGGACGCTGATGCTGTCGTCTGTGTCCTCCTCATCCTCCTCCTCATCTTTCTTTTCCTCAGCACCGCCCTTCTCTGATCCTGCCTGGACGGTGGCTGGGGCCCTGACTCCAGGGATCAGCCTGACCCTTCTGGTCAGTTCCTTTTGGGGACAGAGGATCAAGTCATCTGGAGACTCTGGGCCACTGGGCTGAAAGGTTGCCACGGGGTGTCTGTGTCCAGAAAAGTCCTGATGGGGGGAGGGGAGAAAAGAACTGAAAATTCAGGCTTTCCCGAAGCGTGACTGTTGTGATTTGGGTTCCCCTGGAAACAGACCCTGAGACAAAAATTCACATGTAAATAGTTTCTTTGGGAAGTGATCCCAGGACACGCTAGGGAGGGAGTGGAAAAATTAGACGGGAGTGGGGGGAGCAGCCAATAGGGGGCTGTTATCAGGCCAGTTACCCCTAGGACAGCTGGAGCTTATTCCTGCTGGGGACTCGGGGAGCCACTGCAGCGCACACACCTCAGAGCACCATCGGGGAGGGATGGAGGGGGCAGCGACGGTGCTAATTCCCTGTCTCTTGCAGCCTGCCACGTGCACGGGCAGAGTGGACACCAGAGGCCAGAGACAGCACCCAGGATGCAGGTGCTGGCCGCTGGAAGTCGAGCTGGCGACTTTCCACGTAATGGGAAGGTAGAGGGATGGGGCGGGGTGCAGATGCGTCTAACACAGAGACTGTCGTTCAGTTAGTGGGCCTTCCCTGCAGGGCCTGAAGCCAGGAGCTTTGAAAATACTCCCGTGTGCAGGGACACTCCGAATCCACCCTCAAGGCCCCCACCCAACCCTAGTGCCCGCTGAGGTTCACCTGTGGCCCAGCCTCCCTCGCCAGGTCCTCATCTGAACAAGTCTGGCCCATCTGACCTCTCCAGGCTTCCCCCTGCCCCAGCTGGCCCCCAGCTCCTAAGGGAGTAAGCCAGCAGAGAAGTGAGGAAATTTCAGGGTTGGCTTGGGCAAGACTCACTCTAAGTCAAATTGTGAACTAAGTGTTGGGATCCTTCTGGACTTCGCCTTTTGGCCCAACCCTCTCCCCCTGCCCTTCTGGGCATCTCTTCTGAATCCCAAGGCTGGAGCTCTGCTCTTGGCCCCTGACAAATCCTTAGCAGAGATGAAGTTATTTAACCAAAGGGACTTATGGCACTTCTCCCTCCCAGGTATATTTGCTATTTGAATTTGGTGCCAAAGGAATGAATTACTAATGGTGGAAATTTAGACATGAAGACAGGAGTTGTTTTGCAGGCTGAACCACCTTGATAGCCTATCTGAACTACCTCTAAGTCCAACCCTACTTCCTTACTCTTCAACACCCCTCCCCCTCTGTTGCACACCCCCAGATTTCCCATACCAGGGCCTGTGGCATCTTTGCCTGCTGAAACCAGGGGTTCCCCAGGAAGCTCTTCCAGATCACACGCCCCGTGGCAATGACCAACAGCAGTGGCAGCAGAAGCAGAAGTAACACCAGGAATGTCCAGTTGGCTCCTAAGGAAGGGAAAATCATAACAACTACAGAAGCAACAACGGCTCCTGTCTATCAGCTATCTACGTGCTGAGGGCTTCACATGCATGATCCTATTTAATCTTCATAAGAATAAACCCATCCTACAGACTGTGAAAACCAAGGTTCAGAGAGGTCATGTAAACTGCCCAAAGACACACAGTGAGTGTGGTGCAGCTGGGATTTTAATGGAGGTGAGTCTGTCTCCAGACTCATGTTCTTCACCGTCATCTTACGAAGATCCTGCAGCCCCAGGGGAAAAGTCCCTGCTTCTGTCACTTTGCACCCACCTGGCACCTCCAGGAAGAAGCAGATGGGCTCAGAGAACTTGCTGTATATGGAGTCACCGAAGGTGTAGATGGTTCTGGCGCTGAGGCAGTGCTGTCCGCTGGTGGCTGGCTGGAGGGGGATCTGGACGGGCTGGCCATGGGGAGTGACTGGAAGTCGGGTCTGTTTGGAGAGAGAAGCAGGAGTGAGCAGATATGCTGTGGGGACCGGCTCCGTACAGCCGGGACGGGGTGGGGTCGGCAGGCAAGATACAGCTGTGTCTCGCATCTTCTTTTCCTGCATTAAAGTTTAAGCGTTAAGGGAGCTCTTCCCAACACTAGCTGGTTTCTTTCCCACTGAGTCTCAAGGTCGGGAAAATGGTCTGGGTTCGAAAGTAGCCCCGACACTCAGGGTCCCTCCCGTGTGCACCCCACCAGGGCCTGCTGGTCCTCACTTGGACCAGCAGATTCCACAGGTTTCCTACCCTCAGGGCCTCCCAATCTACTGGTGGGGGGACATTATTCAGCCATTACAGACACCGACAACTCTAGAGCTGCCCTCTTCAAGGCAGTAGCCGCTGGCCACACGTGGCTATTGAGCGCTTGATGTGTGGCTGGTCCAAACTGAGATGTGCTCTAAGTATGAAACACACACTGGCTTTCAAAGACTAAGTGAAAAAAAAAAAAAGTAAAACATCTCAATAATTTTTATACTAATTACATGTTTAAATGATAACATTCTTTTGGATGCAATAAAATCTATTAGGAAAATTAAATTTGCTTGTTTCTTTTCACTTAATGTAGAACATTTGAAATTACACATGTGGCTCACATCATATTTCTAGGGGACAGTGCTGGTCTAGACTATTCGTGAGGTTCTGGAAGGCAGGGACCACAGTGGATGATCTATAGCCCCAGGACCCAGAGCACTGCCTGGGCAAGCAGGCCTCCTGTAGCCCATCATACTCCAATCAGATTTTATTGGGGGAAAAAAAGGGTTTCGTAAATTTAAAAAATAAGTGGAAAATGGCTGTGCTGCTACCACCTGTAACAAGCAAGGAGAGGACGCCCTGTACTTGGCCTCTTAGGTGGAGAATGGTGGGGTGGGCCGCAGGCCAACCGCACTGTACAGAGTCAGGGGGTGACTGCCAGGAGTGAGGGGTATGCAGGGAAGGCTTCTTGGAGGAGGCTGCAGGGAGTAGGCTGGGAGGGTGAGGAGCACTGGGGTTTGGTGGGTCAGTGGGGGAGGGAGGCCCAGCCTGGGGGCAGGAAAGGGACTTCTCACCTTGTTCCTCATCCCCTCCTTCCAGAAATCCACCTCATACTTCAGATCTGGCCGGGGCATGCAGAAGGGCAGCTGGTATGTGGCATTGACGCTCAGGATCTCCTCTGTCCGGCTGACTACGAGGACAGGCGGGGCCGGCTCCACTAGTAGAAACAGAACAGGACCAGTCAGTACACTCTGGGGGCCACAGTGCGTCGGTTCCCCTGGCTCCAGGCAGGCCTGCTCCTCACCCAGTCCAGGGAGCTCTCGTGAACAGGGGGAAGCAGCATCAGTGTTTGTCACGGCCGTTTTATTGAAGCCTTGCAGTGGCCCTGGAAGGGAGATATCACTATTCCCATTTTATAGACGAGCAAACTGAGGCTTCGAGAGGTGAAATGACCAGCCCAAGCTCACGGTGACCCTGCCTGTACTCATGTCGTCTCCTCCACCTGGGTGCCCTTCACATCTCACTGGTCTGTCAGAATCCTGTCCATTTCTATCAGTTTTCTATGGCTGCCACAACACATTACCACAAACTTAGTGGCTTAAAACAACACAAATTTACTATCTCATAGTTTTGTAGGTCAGAGTCCAGGTGAACTCAGCGAGGTCCTCTGTGCTGGGTCTCATGAGGCTGAAATCAAGGTGTTGGCTGGCCCGGACTCTTCTCTGGAATCTCTGGGGGAGAATTCACTTCTGTGCCCATTCAGGTGCTGGCAGAATTCAGTTCCCTGTGGCTGTAGGGCTGAGGTCTGCTTCCTTGCTGGTTGTTGGCTGGGAGCCTCTCTCAGCTCTGAAGGCATCTGCATTTCTCAGCATGTTGCCCCTCCATCTTCAAACCAGGAATGCCACATTGAGTCCTTCTTACACTTCCGATCTCTCTGACTTGCCCTTCTTTTACATCTCTTCTGCCACCAGCTGCAGAAAGTTCTCTGTTTTTAAGGGCTCCTAGGATTAGATTGGGCCCATTTGGATAATCCAAGATAATCTCACTATTTTAAGGTCCATAAACTTAATTAAAATCCTTTTGGCCACGTAATATTAACATCTAATATATTCACAGGTTCCAGGCATTAGGGCATGAACATCTTTGGGGGGGGTCATTCTGCCTGCCATGGTCCTCTTTCTGACCACCAAAATTCATATCCCTCTCAAGTGCACAGTACATTCACCCCATCTCAGGGTCCCCCAAAGTCTCATCCCATTAACAGCATCAATTCAAATTCCAAAATCTCATCATCTAAAGTATCCAAATCAAGTTCAGGTGAGAATCTGCGTACCATCCACTCAGTACGACTCCCAGGGCACAATTCCTATCCATCGGTGAAACTAAAGAACGAGTTATCTGCTCCCAATAAAAAATGGTGGGACGGGCACAGGATAATAGTTATAGCCATTCTGGTTCAAACAGGGAGAAATAGAAGGTAAAAAGAAGTTCCTGGTCCAAAGCAGTTTTGAAATCCAGCCAGGTGAGCTCCACTGGGTTTCAAGGCCTGGGAATACTTTTCCTTGGCTCTTGGCACTGCTCTCTGGGATCTTGGTTCTGCCCTCTGAGTCATCCTTCCTTTTCATGAAAGGTAACAAGTATTTGCACTTAAGTAGTTTTATCAGTCGCTTCTTGCCCGTAGAAATTGGGGGTCCAACAGCCTTCTTTCATTTCATACTCTGTCTGTCCCTTTTAGTCCAAGCTGGCAGTGTCTCTGCTGATATAAGATTCTCAAGAACTTTACGGGTCTGCTGTGGATGTCATGGAGATCCACTCCAATAGACAGAAGCCAGGTCCACAAATCTTTTTGAGAGAGCCCTTCTCTCTTTTTGGCTTTAGCTGAGATGGCTGAGGGGTATCACTCTTTAGCATCGTAGAGGCCCCTTGATTTGATCGAGGGGAACTGTGATTCATACTCTTAAATCTTTTCAAAGAGCCTTTTTCTTGACTGAACACTTTGATCTTTTGATCCTCCTGAGATTTTAGTGAAAGATCGTACAACCACACACTTGGCTACTTCTTTATGGCACACTTTTGGGAGAAATTTCTTAATTTTAGTATCTTTAGCCATCTGGATAGGTTGAGAATCTCCCAAATCATCAAGTCCTGGTTCCTTTTTGTTTAGGTTCTTCCCTCAATTTCTCTCTCTTTCTCTCTCTGCATTTTGCTGTAAGTAGCAAGAAGAAACCAGGCCATGTCTTCAACACTTTGCTTGGAAATCTCCTCGATATATATCCAAATTCATCATTTACAACCCTACTTTCCACATACCTGCAGGACACACTTCTAAGCTTTCTGCCAGTATATAACAGACATCCCCCTTCTTCAAGTTTTCAGTAACATATACCTCACTTCATTCTGTGAGACAGTGCCTTTCATATCCATACTTCTACTAACAATCTCTTCATGATCATTTAAGTATTCTCGGAGGAGATTTAGGTTATCTCTATAATGCTCCTCACTTCCTTCTGAGCCCTCACTGGCAGAGGCTTTAATGTCCACGTTTCTACTGACAGTCTGTTCAAGATCATCTGGGCTTGCCCAGCGGCTTGAAGATGGAGGGGGCAAGTGACAAGGAATAAAGCAGTAAGAGAAAATTAATACACCATTGTTCAAGGTCCAGCTGAAATGCCGCTTTTCCGTGCAGCCTTCCCTGACTCCCAGCCAGCAGGGAGCTCTGACCACACTGGTCATCCCTGTCCTGTGTCTGTGCTCAGGGCAAATATGTAGCTTCCCTGAGATGCCACTACTTATGTGTTCAGGAAATATCCACTGGATGCTGATATGTATTAAGCCCTGCAGGGAGCTGTAGGGAACGGAGAGATGAGGCCTCACGAATCCTGACCTCCAGGAATTGGAGGAAATTGGGGGAAATGAAATACACAAACTACAAAACTCAAGACAGAAAGTGACCTGGGCCGCAGCTGAGGGCAGAAAAAGCCAGGAAGGGTCATTCAGGCTTGGGGTGTGCTATAGGAGAATCAGGAGAGCTTCAGGGAGGGGGAGGCAAAAAAAATTAATTAAAAAAAAAAGTAACCTCTCTGCATCTTTCCCTCTATTGTTCTAATCTCTTATTCGTATCCATCCAACTATTGCAGTGATTCATCCATCATTCTTCTAACCAGACTGCCTTCCTGGCTGCCTTCCCTTCCTTCCTTTCCTTTCCATCTATCCAACCTTCCCAACCATCCTTCCTTCCTTTCTTTCCAACCAACATGCCTTCCTTCCTAGCCATCCTTTCTTTCTATTCATTTACACTTTCCTCCTTCCTTTTATCTAGCCACGTAGCCTACTCTTCTACTCATCCATCCTTCCCATCCATCCATTCTTCTTTTCTTGCCACATCTCTTTTCTTCCTTTCTTCCTCTTTTGCCTCTCCTTCCCTTCTGCTCTTCTGTCCTTTCCCAGGCAGCCAGCCTTCCTTCTATACTCCCTACCACTGATCCATACATCTGCCTTCCTTCCTATCCTCCATCTCTCCATCCATACTTGCTTCCTTCCTAGGAAGCATGTGTCTTTCCATCTAGCCTCCTTCATTCCCACTCCTCCGTCACTGCCGCCTCTCCATGTTTTCTCTCTCCTTACCCACCCATCTTTCTCTTCCTTTTATCCATCCACCCAGCCAGCTTCTTCCCATCCAAATACTCTCTCTTCCTTCTCTGCCATCCTTCATTCAATCTCTTCCTCCCCTCCCTTCAAGCTCTGTTTTGCCCTCAAACATTTTGAGAAGCCTGGACAACAAGTTACAGGTCTAAGCTCCAGGAGGCTATTGTCTAAGTATTTATTCTCTCCTTCTTACCACCCCACCTCACTCTTGATCTGGCTCAGTGCCTCATCCACGATCAGAAAGATCCAGATTCACATCCCATCTCCACCACTTACTAGCTGTGCATCCTGGCAAGTTACTTAACTTCTGTGAGTCTTGCTTTATTTATTTTTAAAAATGGGGTTGATGAAAATGAACTCCACGGGTTTGTTGTGAGAATTAGAAATAAAATGTATTGGGAGAAAAAGTGCTCTCCTCACTAACTGTTATGGGTGGAAACACTGGTGATTCCTGAATGTGGTAAGTTGGGGAATGTTTTCCTCTCTATTTTTATCTTCTTTCTCCCCCAAATTTCTACAGTGTATAGAAATTACTTTTGCACCCTGAATTTTAAAAAACTGTTTCTTAAAGAGAGAGGTTGAACATAAGAAAAATAGGAACAAGTATATAAAGAGCCTGTGTAGTTCATGACCAAGGTTGTGCTCAACAGAAGATAATGAACATTATTAGAGGAGGTGCAAACTGAATGGCTGGCACTGGTGGAACTCCCCTAACTGCCTGCCATGACGTCAGGCTACTCAGACACGGGCCGGAGCCCACGGTGGGCTGCCACAGAGAGCTGCCCTCTGCTATGGGGAAAGAGGAGACAGATGGCTAGGACGACAGTGCCACTGAGCCACGTTCTTGGAGAGAGAGCCTCCCACAGGTCCCTTACCTACCTTCAAAAAGGTAATCCAGGTACTTGGACTCCACCCAGGGGGACGTGGCGCTGGGAGAGACCACCCGCACACGCCCCTTGAACTTGTTGTACAGGTCTTGTTTCTTCAGGCACATCAGAGAACATGCCAGCTCTCGGATTCCTGCACACTTTTCCACTTTTCGCCACCGTCTGGGGGTTGCAGAGCTGAGGGAGGAGACAGGAGAGCTTGGGCCATGGATTCAGCCTCTCGGGGCCAGGGAACTTAGAGAACATGTGATCACTGGTCCCTCCATTCTGCCTGATTGTCCATCTGTCTAACCATCAGCTGAGCTAGGATGAGAATGGTCCAGTTAGGAGCTCAGGCTCTGGAGTGAGAGGCATGGCGGGAAATGTTGGCTCTGCCCCTCACTAGCCCTGGGACCTTATGCAGGTCACTGCCCCTAAGCCTCAGCCTCCTCATCTGTCATGCATCCCTCACAGGGCCGTGGTGGTGGCTGCTATTCCTGGTGCTAGTAACCATTTTCCACGTTTATTCATTCAGGCATTTGTGGACCACCTGCTGTGTGCCTGGCACCATGCTGGGTGCTGTGTGGGTGTCAGAGCGGAACATGCACATCCATGACTCCAACCTCCTGAGAACACTGAGATCCAAAGAAGGGACCTGCATGACTCCAACCTCCTGAGAACACTGAGATCCAAAGAAGGGACCTGAGCGTTGGGTATTATTCTTGGGGAATCCGCAATGCATGACAGATGAGGTCCTGCCCTCGGGAACTTAGACTCTGGTGGGAGGGGATGAGAGACAATCATCACATCAACAAGACAAATTCCAGAGCTGGTAAGTGCAGCGACCTTAGGGTAATGTGGGAGTGACTCCTTCCAAAGGCAGCTTGAGAAAGGCCAGGAAGAGAGTATTGAAGCCAAGGCTGTGACGATGAGAAGGGAGCCAGGTGAAGGCTTAGGGGAATGGACGGCAAGAACAAAAGCGCTATGACGGGAAGGAGCTTGACCTGGCCAGAAAAAGCAAGGAGGCCAATGTGGCCGAAGCCCAGTGGACTGGGAAGGAGAGGTGTGGACAGATGAGATGGGAGTGGAGAGGGGGGTGGGCAGGGTGGGCAGAGTGGGCAGGGCCTCGCCATCTTGGTAAGGAGTTTGGATTTTATTCCAAGTGTGATAGGAAGCCACTGGAAGGTTCTGAAGAGGGGAACTGAGGTGATCTGATTTATATATATATATATATACACATATATATACATATATATATGTATATATGTATACATATACATACATATATATATATATACGTATACGTATATATATATATGTATATGTATATACATATTTTTTTTTTTTTGGAGGAAGATCAGCCCTGAGCTAACATCCATGCTAATCCTCCTCTTTTTGCTGAGGAAGACCGGCTCTGAGCTAACATCTATTGCCAATGCTCCTCCTTGTTCCACCCCCCGCCCAAAGCCCCAGTAGATAGTTGTATGTCATAGCTACACATGCTTCTAGTTACTGTATGTGGGACGCAGCCTCAGCATGGCCGGAGGAGCGGTGTGTCGGTGCGCGCCCGGGATCCAAACCCGGGCTACCAGTAGCGGAGTGCGCGCACTTAACCGCTAAGCCACGGGGCTGGCCCTGATTTATATTTTTAAAAGATCACTCTGATAAACCAGCTAGGAGGCTGCAGCTGTGGTCCAAGAGAGAACAGTGGTAGAGACAGTGAGAAGGGGTTAGATTCAGGATATATTTTGGAGGTAGAGCCAATAGGACTTGCTCATGGATTGGATGTAGAATGTGAGAAAAAGGAGAATCAAGGACTACTCCTGGGTTTGGGGACTGAGCCATGGATGAATGGAGAAAGCGGAGATGGGGGCAGGCAAAGAGAATAGATTTTTGAGAAGAATCCCTCTGTTTCGTTTCCTGGTGGAGTAATACTATGTAAACATTAACAAAAAAAGGAACTGGGGTAGCTATATTAACATGAGACAAAATATAGATTTCAAAGTCCAGAACAAAACTACTGAAAGATTGAAAAAAATCACTACCTAATGATAAACGATTCCATTTACCAGGAAGATATAAAAATTCTAACTTATTTGTGCCTACTAAATAGCTTCACACTCCACACAGAAAAAACAGACAAAACTACAGGAGAAACAGAAAATCCACAATTACACTGAGAAAATTTTAACACACCTCACTCAGTAATTGATCATTGAACAAAGAAAAATAATCAGTAAATATGTAAAAAAAATGAACAACATAGTCATTGAAGTTAGTCTAATGAACACATATAGAACAAAGTGAAGAAACTGGTTGAGCCGCACATGAATATTAACAAAATATTAACAAAAATATTAACAAATATTAACAAAAATATTAACTACTAAAAATACAGCAACTACCAAGAAATTTCAAAGAATAGGTATCTTACCAACTATTTCCTCTGATTGCAAATAAACCAGTTAAAAATCACTAATGAAAAGAGAACTAAAGAAAGTTTGAAAATTTTTAAATGTTTTACAATAACTCATGGCGGGGGCCGGCCTGGTGGCGCAAGTGGTTTAAGTGCACGCGATCCGCTGCCAGGGCCTGGGCTTCGCAGGTTCGGATCCGATGCACCGCTTGTTAAGCCATGCTGTGGCGGCCTCCCATATAAAGCAGAGGAAGATGGGCACGAATGTTAGCTGGGGGCCAATCTTCCTCAGCAAAAAGAGGAGGATTGGCATCGGATGTTAGCTCAGGGCTGATCTTCCTCACGCACAAAAAATAAAATAAAATAACTCATGGATCAAAGAAAGAATTATGGTGGAAATCTGTAAATATCTAAAACTGACCACAAAAATAGTACAAATAAAAATTTATGAGATACAGTTAAGTAATCCTCAGAGGGAAACATATAGCTTTAAATACTTATAACAGAAAATAAGAAAGGACAGAAATGAATAAGGTAAGCAATCAACTGAAGTCAGAAACACACGCCAAAAAACACATCTAAGAACAGATCAAAACTGTAACCACTACTCAAAAATGGGTTATAAGACACAAAAACGATACCAGACATGAAAGAACAATATGAAACAGAATTAGAGAAACTCAGCAAGGAGGTAGCAGAACAGAAAGGAGGTGACAGGAGAGTATCAAATATTAAAAAAAAAAAAACCCTCATTTCAGAAATGTAGAATAAATTAGAAGCCATACAAGAGCAAATGAATAACAGATAATGCCTTAAAAGAAACAGAAACTGAAAAGAAGGAAATTTTGAAAAGTCACAAAGAAACAGAAACTTTAAACGTTAAAATTATAAAACTTCTAGAAAAAAGCATAGAAGAATATCTTCATGATGGTGAGTCAGGCAAATATTTCTCAGGACACCAAAAGCTTTTGATACTGAAGAAAAGAAACCTCATGTATCAGTCTGCTAGGGCCGCTGTGACAAACCACCAGGCTGGGGGGCTTAAACAATGGAAATTTATTTCTCACAGTTCTGGAGGCTGGAAGTCCAAGGTCAAGATGTCAGCAAGTTTGCTTTCTCCTGAGGCCTCTCTCCTTGGCTTGCAGTTGGTCACCTTCCCGCTGTGTCCTCACATAGCCTTTTCTCTGTGTGTGAGCATCCCTGGGGTCCTTCCTCTTCTTATAAAGACACCAGTCCTACTGGATTAGGGCCCCACCCTTATGACCTCATTTAATCTTAATTACCTCTTTAAAGGCCCTACCTCCAAATACAGCCGTATGGCTGGGTGCAGGGAGGAGGTGTTAGGGCTTCAACATATGAATTTAGGGGGAGCACGATTTTCACACAAAGAGAAAAGGCTATGTGAGGACACAGCAAGAAGTTGGTCAACTGCAAGCGAAGCAGAGAGGACTCAGGAAAAAGCAAACCTGCCGACCTCTTGACCCTAGATTTCCAGCCTCCAGAACTGTGAGAAATAAATTTCCTTTTATTAAGAGCCCCAGTCTGTGATATTTGTTTACGGCAGCCCTAGCAAACGAATACAGATTTTGGTACCATAAGTGGGTGCTAATGTAACAGATATCTAAAAATGTGGAAGCGGGTTTGCAACTAGGTAAATGGTAGAGGTTGGAAGAGTTCTGAGGTGTATGTTAGAAAAAGTCTATCTTGAAAAGACTTGGTAGGAATATGGATGGTAAAGGTGATCCGGGAGAGATCTCAGATAGAAAGGAGGAACGTCTTATTGGAAACTGGAGGAAAGGTGATCCTTGTCATAAGTGACAAAGAACTTGGCTGAATTATGTTCTAGTGTTTCGTGGAAAGTAGAAATTAAAAGTAATGAACTTGGATATTTAGCTGAGATTTCGAAGCAAAGTGTTGAAGATGTGACCAGGATTCTCCTCGCTGCTTGTAGTAAACTGACAGAGGAGAGAGATAAACAGAAGGAATTGTTAAGCAAAAAGGAACCAGAACTTGAAGATGGGAAAATTCTCAGCCTATGCATACTGTAAAGAATAAGAAAGCATGTTCTGCAGAGAACAGGGTGTGGCTGGAAAATCATTGGATAAAGAGATCTTGGGTGTGACTCATGGGCTTAATCAGCCATCTCAGTAGAAGCCAGGAATAGAGATGGGATTACTACATATATACATATATATATATAATGATATATATATATCACCATATATATCACCATAACTCTGTTCACTGAAAAGATCTAAAAACAATAGCTAAGTAGTGATTAACAGAGCTAGCACACAGATTGTGCTCTTTAAAACTATTTCCTACTAAATGGAGAAATCGCTGATTTCAGGTTTTAGGTCAGGAATTGTGCAAAAGAGCCCGGAACATCTTATCATAACAGGCAACAATAAAGATATCAAAGAACTAGGGCCAAGTTAAAAGGACTCAGGAGCCAATTTGAAGAGACTTTCACTGGCCAAAGGTGGGACAATTCAAGCTTCAAAGAGTAGAATAAGTTGCAATGGATTAAAACCATCAGATATGTTTAAGTACTTGAGTTCATAATGATTAAAACAAATGAATTGATCACCCATGGGAGATGATAGGGAACTAATTCATGATCTTGAAAACTGGTAAATAAAAGGAAAAACAATCAAGCACTTATTTTGTCTTGCCTATTTGAATCGTACCACTGAATATCAAATACCACATGAGGGGAGACATGTCTTTATAAAATAATTCCAGTGAACAAATGAAAAAATAATACAATTAGAATATCACCATTTTGCAATCCTCGCAGGTGTTTAAAAAGTGTAAAAGAGAAGGAAAATATCACAAAGGTCCAGAGGATGGGGGTTCAACTCTTTAATAAATTGATCCCAGCTCTACTATTCCCAGCTGTGTGACTTTGAGCAAAATACACTCTTGGTCCTTCAATTTCCTCCACTGTAGAGTGGAGCTACTGAAGCCTTCCTCACAGGGCTGTGTGAGATGGAATAAATACATCTAATGCATTGACAGCGCTGACACGCAGCAAACACACAGCACACCTTCGGCGTTTTCTGCCTCCCAACAGAGTTCTACACAGCTCTTTCTTTCGAAAGCTCTCTTGCAGTCTGTCCTCCAAGCCAAGCCTCCATCACTCACATCTCCATGCAACGGGTGGAGCGACCGTGAGGGAACAGGACGAGCACAAGCCTTGGGGTCAGACAGACTGGGGTTTTTCTTCTGGCTCCACCACTATCTTCCTTGGGCGAGTCATGGCACCTCTCTGAGCTGAGTTTCTTCATCTCTAACTTGGGGGAATGCAGCGCCTGCCCGGCGAAACTGGGAGGAAGCAGTGAAATATTCGTGCAAGGCCCTTAGCACTCAGCCTGGCACAGGATGGGTCCTGAGTACAAGGCAGTTCCCTCTCCTTATTATTTCTTCCTTGTCACCGATTCTAGATGAATCCGCCTGAGTACCTGCTTTTATCATTGTACTCTCCTACTTGAGAACTTCAAATGATTCCCCACTATGGGCACGGATGGTGAATCTGCTTCCTTTTTCAGATTCATCTGGGTTAATAGTGGCTGCCTGGGCTGCCAAGTTGAGAAAGACCCCGAGGTTCTGTGCAGGCTCCGTGGGGAAAAGTGCGATCATCTAGCGATGCCTGACATGGCTCTGCAGGAGATACATTTGCCCTCTCTTATCTGCTGGAACAAGTCCAGGCACCACATCCAGGCCCTCATAGCTCCACCCAAGCCCTGCTCAGACTTTTCTCAGAGATCCAACCCACCCGTGGCAGGCCTGTCACCTGTGCACTATTCTCCGTTCAACATCATTCTTACTTCTTTTATCAAATGCCCTCTCCAGATACCTGCCACATGCCGTCTCCCACAGACCCCAGAGAACCAGCAAATGCTGCCCACACTGAACGCAGCTATCCCAGAGAAGGCCCTCCAAGCCCTGCCCACCTCCTCACCACCCCCCACCCCAAGCCTGGAGGCTCCCCTTTACCTCTGATAAGCCACAAAATAGGTCACGTCCTGGGGGCTGCCAGGTCCTGGGAGCCACGTCAGGTACACGCCGAAGTTCCGGGAGAGCAGTGTCACATTCTGGGGAGGTGCCAAACGGGGCCTCGCTGTAGGGGAGAAAGAGGTCATGAAGCGTGGAGCTCCTGGCTGGTCTTGACATGGGTCATCTGGAGCTGAAGAGGGCACAGTGGGCAGTCAGCTGCTCGCTGAGTTTGAGAACCAGGAGTCTTGTGGGGTGGCTGAAGCACAGGGGACCTGGGGCAGGCTGGGAACCCGGGGGTCAGGAATCCAGTCACAGCCATGCCTCTGGCTGGCTGTATTGCTGCCCCGTCCCCTCCCTCGGCCTCAGCGCCCATCTGTGCCATGAAAGGAAGCTCCTCTGGGACCTGAGGGTTCCAGGAGAACACCACAGAACAGGATCCCGGAGGGTTCCAGGAGGAAACAGGCCTGAGGGTCTCAAGCAGCAGGGGCTCTGTCTCGTTCTCAGCCACGTCCCCAGAGCCTGCCTGCAAGGGGCCCTGACACATAGCAGATGCACAATAAACACGTGTTGAGCGAACGAATGAATACTGGGATAACCTGGATTATTCCAAAGGCCTCCTAACTGGTCTCCCTGCCTCCAACCTTGTCCCCTCAATCCGTTCTCTCCATAGCAGCAAGGGCTAAAATGAAAGTCAGATCATGTCGCTCTTTGGCTTTAAAGCCTTTAATGGCCTCCATTTCACTCAAGGTAAAACCTAAAGTCTTTACAATCACCCACAAGCCCCTACCCAAGCTGACCAGCCCTTGTGCCCTCTTCTCCAGTCCCCTGGCCTTTTTGCTGTTCCTAGAGCCTGCGAGGCATGCTCCCACCTCTAGGCCTTTTTCTGAGCTGTTCCCTCCCCCTAGACTGTCCCCTCCAACCCCCCACCGGAAATCCATCTGACTCTCTCCTCTGCTTCCTTCTCATCTCTGCTCAGACGTCACTGTCTCAGAGACACTTGCCCTAACCACATTTAACGGCTTCCAGTTGCCCTCCTTGGACCTCCCCCTTCTGACTGCTCCCCCTCATCTTCTGAAACATGCATCTGATTACACCACTCCTAGTTTCATGCCTTTCCCTTGCCCTCAGGATAAAGTCCACGATCCTTATGAGGCCCGTTGAGGCCCTGCCAGCTTGGCCTGGCCAGGCCATCTCATCGACCTCTTCTGACAGCTCCCCCCACACTCACCAGGCTGCAGCCGATGTTCCTCCTCGCCCTTCTCAAACCACTGCGTTCCTCTGGGTGTCTTTGAACCCAGGTATCTTTGGCTGCCTGGTGTTCACCATCTAATCTTTTAAAGACTTGATTCAAACATCAGTTCCTCCAGGGAGTCTTCCCTGACATCTCTAAGAAGTGGTGGTGATGCTGCTGCTGCTAATATTGAGCAGTTAATGTGTACTGTGTCCTAACTATGTGTCAGGCACTAGGCACCTGCATTTTCTCCTTCAATCCTCCTCACATCCCTAAGAGGTAGGTACTAATTATGATCATAACAGATGAGGAAACTGAGGCTCTCTCAGCTAATGAGGTATACAATCAGAATTCACATCCAGGCCCAGCCCACTCCAGAGTCTGAGCTCTTGACCACACTTCCTCCTCTAGGTTCTTTATGGGGCATGTTCAGCTTTATTCTTCTAACATCTATGGACCACTATTGGTCAATGACATCTATTGACCACTGTGTGCCAGAGGTTTCCAAGAGGAATAGAATTCCATTCCTGCCTTTTAGGAGCTCATGGTCCCGGGGAGAATTCTGTGCCCTGAAGTGTTACGTGGGCCATGATGGAAATCATACAGGTTACAGAAGAGCATCAGGGAGGGAGGGGCCAGTTCTACTGATGGCTCTTAGCTGGGCTCCCCGCCCCTGGCCTTTTAGACCCAAATATGGGTGCCTGCTCCCACCCCATCCTGTGTCCTCTAGCTGGAACTGGATCACCAGGATGCTGATGCTGTCATTGCTCCCAGCTTCTGGACTTTCTAGCAGGTGGCCGGCAGGAAGCCCAAAACTGTCCGCAAGCAGCTTATAAGGTACCCCATGGGCAGGACAGGACAGGTCCAAAGTCTGAGCTTGGCCAGAGTGGAGAAGCGGCAGCTAGAAGAGTTACCCTCTATGGAGCCTTCAAAGGGTGCCAGGCAACGGTTTGGCACTTTATACACAAAACCTCATTCAATCCTCAGGACAAACCACCCTATGGGGTGGGTGTCATTCCCCTTCCATGGAGGGGCACTAGGTTCAGAGACAGATGGTAAATAATTTGCCTGAGGTTACACTGCCAGTCTGTGTGGGAGCCAGGATTTGAATCTAGATCTGGCTGTGTGACACCCAAAACCATCACACACAGTTTGTGTTGCGTACATTAAATATTCCTCGGTGAAAGTACCGCTAGGTCCAGACGGGAAAACTACTGAGTTTGACAGCAAAACAGGGGGACAGAGGACCCCCTCCCGCCCACCCCTACAGGTACACTGTCCCTTGTCAGCTGCAGTGACACTCACTGCTGCGGAGGCCCCAGGGGCTGGGGCACCGCTGAGCTGACCTAGGAGGATGGACGGCCCTGCTCCAGCTGCTCACCCCACAGCCAAAGCTGGCCATGCTGGCTTCAGCCTCAGTCTTCTCCGTTCTGTGTGCCTCACCTCCGCTCTCCTTCTCGGGCAATTCCCTTAATTGCTCTGAGCCTCAGTTTCCCCAACTGAAAAGGGACAAAATAATACCTACCTCATAGGACTGTGGGGTTGTGATGCTTAAATAGGATAATGTGGTGCCCAGCGCAAAGAAGTTGCTCAATAAATGTTGGCTTTTAATATTATTATTAGTTTATGTTGGAGGGCCCTTCTAGCTCTCAAATTGTGAGTCTAAGACTAGTAGAATATCCTGGGGGCAATTTTGGGACCTTCTCCCTGTATTGGGTGGGCCTTGGTGGTTGGGTCCTATTTCAAGGTATTTTGTACCCTGCCACCTTATTCACCAGTGAGGGACTCAGAAAGAAGGTGACTCGATAGAACAGCCGGGCACAGGCTAAGCCAGAGCTCCCTCCCCTCAGGCCTGGTGGAGCAGCGGGCACCCCCAGCGGGAGGACGGGAGCAGACTTCGGGGGAGGGCAGGGCACTTCCGTCTGACTTCCCGTAAGAGCCAGATTCAAGCGTGGTTTAACGCAGGGGACAGCGCTTCCAAGAAACCTTAAAAAAAGCACTTTTTACATAAATGCGCCTGCTTTTTAAAGTGCCACTGTCTCTTTTCCCCGGTTCACCCGAAGCTGGACTGGCCTTAGGAAACTGTATCAGTTTCCACCCAGAAGAAAGGAATTTCAAAGACTCGGGTCTGTTTAGTCCTCGGGAGAAGAAAGCTGGTGGTGGGTGGGCAGGGCCGATTTCGCAGCCGGCTCCAGTGGCTGCGGGCGGGCTTCGGACCACGTCCCTCCCTCCTTGGAGCCCCGGGTCCGGGTCCGAGGGAGGGCACGGCCCTGCTGGGGCGCCCCGCGCCTCCCCGCGCCTCCCCGCGCCCCGCGCCCTTACCTGCAGCGGACTGCAGCAGGCACAGGAGCAGGGGGGCCCACTGCCGGGCCCCGGCCATGTCGGCCCTTCCGCGGCCCGCCCGGCGGGGCCAGGTCCCGCCTCCCGCCTCCCGGCCCACGGCGACGCAGCCGGCGGGGAGGCCGAGCCGCGGGCCCGCCCCTCGCGGGCCGGACTCTCCGGGCTTCCCCTGGGACAGCCCCGCCGAGCGGGAGGCGCAGCTCCCGGCTCCCGGGGCCGCCCCCGCTGGACAACGGCCCGTAGCTTCCCGGTGCCTCCATCCCGGGGCGGCGGGCGAGGAAAACTGTTCATTATCAAGAACCACAGTTAGGTTTGCAAGACGCGACTTTCGAACAGGACTAAGAGAAGCATTCAGGGCCAGTGAGACCACACAGTCTCAGATACCACCGGCTGCGGTATCTGAGCGTGTTCTTTGTGCCAGGTACAAGCCATGGTACTTTTCACACATTATCTACTTTAATCCCCTCGGGAATCCGGTGGGACGGTCCTGTTATTCTCTATGTTCTTCACAGGGCCGGTGGCAGCCTCCAGAACTCAATGGCTTGTTCTGGGGAAAGCTGGTCCCTCCGACACCAAAGCCTGTGGGGTGTTACCAGTCACCCGAACAGTAATCGCTTCCAAATAAAGGAACCAGCCTCACCGCGGAATAGTCTACAGTCATTAAAAAGGACGTTGCCGAGGCATATGTAGTGACTCGGGATGTTTACCATATGCTCAAAGGCAGAAAAGCAAGTACCAAAATATGGGCCCATTAAAAAGATGTGTGTCTATAGGCATAGATGGATTTGCAAGGATATAACATCAATATGTTAGTGCTTGTTATCTCTGGGTGGTGAGGATTTTTTTTTTTAAGTTTCTCCTTTCTGTTCACGTTTAGTTTCTACATTTTTCAATAATTTGTATGTATTGCTTTTCCAACAAGAAAAGTCATTTTTATTCTAAAAATAATCGTAGTTCTGCTTTATTAAATATGTTCTTTTCTGTCCTTCCACAACACTTGAAGGAAGTATTGCTTCCTCTTTACAGATGGGGAAACTGTCACTCTGAGAAACCACAGAATTGGTGCAGGTGCTAGCTTCTGGACTCAGTCCCAGGGCTGTCTGATTCCATGGCCATACCGCCTCTGGGTAACTGCTTTGTTCACTCTCTGGGTCTCGGTGACAGCCGGGTGACCGTTGGTCAGTTGTGACCAAGCCCATGAACTAGGACCAGACGCGTAGCAGAGAGAATCCTGGAGCTTGTCCCTGTCACAGATGCCGGCTCTCAGCTTGGATGCCAGCAGTTCGTGGGACAGAGAATGCATTTTCACAGAGCTGGGTGGATCCAAAAGTTGCCCTGAGTTTGGCCGTGGGTGCAAACCTTCAGAAGTTTCAGGATGGTTCTGAGATTTGTGTCATGCCGTCACCTCAGTCAGCACTTCTGAACAGGGGCTCACAGAGGCCACGGTCGGGCCTCAAAGGCAAGGAAGACGGAAGAGACCTCAAGTGCGAGGCACACGAGTATCTTGGAATCTCTTCTGAAATTGTGACTTCATCCGACAAACTTCAACTCTTTCAGATCCAGCATCCCACTGAACTGGGCACAGTTTGGCAGTGGGGACAGAGGCGTCTTCATTTGCCACCTGCTCCACCCACTCTGCTTGTGTGATGTTAGTCTGAATCTAGCACCTGCTCTTTTTGACAAAATTTGCCACATGCTTGTTCTCCTCTGCTCACTTTCCCTCTATCTCATACTTTCAAGTTAGGAAATTGTGTGTCTGGATGCCTTTGAGCATCAATATAAAAGGACATTTGTGACCACAAACTCAGGCAAGTTGCATCCCTCAAAACCTTAAAAAAAAAGTCATCTTGGATGCAAGTGAGAAAATCTCAGCCGGTTACCACCGCCTAGCCTCTACCTAGGTCCTCAGCGTGCTGCTTCAGTTTTGCTCAGGTATCTCAAATAGCAATAATAAAGCCATTCTGGAATTAAATGGGTATATCTCTATGGACATCTCTTTATCTAAAACAGCATTCAAAAACAATATTTATTGAGTCCTTGTGATTTAGCAGGCACTACAGTTTACATATATTACAGTATTTAATCCTCACAACAATGCTGTGAGGGAGGTATTAATACCTCCTTTTGACAGGTGACACTCTGAGAGGTTACACTGCTTGCCTAAGGTCACACAGCTCATTAGTGACAGAGCTGGGATTCAGACCCCAGTCTGGCTGTCCTAAAACCTGTGGGTTTAAAACTTCTGCTTTTCAGCTTCCAGATGGTTAACAGTAGACAAAAATAAAATTCCCCTGTCTCTATCACTTTCTGATTTGCAAAGATCACAGCACTAAACTCTCATAAGCAGCAACATGGGCACTGGAGTGCCAGCCTTCTCTTTGGACTGGATTATTAGGTGGAAGCAGTGATGCTGGTAAATATTTAACAGCTGGGTCTTGGGCGGCAGGGGAAGACCTGCTTGGTAGCATTTGCCCATATCTGTGATGTAAACACCTCCACCATGGTCAATTTCAACATGAGGTCACTGAACACAGAGTTGGGAAGGAATACACACAATCGGCTCTTCCCGAGCCTGTCAGCCAGCTCCAGCACACTATGGGGTGAAAGAACCACGACTGAGCTGTCCCATGTTTAGAACAAACCACAGCCCCAGCCCTAAGCGGGCTATGGGCTCATGTTGAAAATCTCTGGTCTGCAGCATGAGGCTCAAGATCTCTTACTCAGCAAAGGCTTTTATAACATGGCCTCCACCTACCTTTTGAAGCTCCCTCCAGTTCTCCATGCTCCAGCCACATAGAGTCCTGCTCATTCCCTTCCCTCTCTCCTCCTGGCCTTTTCAAGCACTGTCCCAGGATTCCCTTGCCAGGCTCATCCTCCCTCCAGTCTTCTAGCCAGCTCCTAGTCTTGCTTCCAGCCTCAGCTCGTGTGTCACTTTCTCGGGGAGCCATCGTTAACTCCCGATTTTGATTTGTTCCCAATCTGCATAGATGTCTCCGTGGTAACACTTCATCATCAATTCATAGAAATCATTCTAGTGCCTTTAATGTCTCTCTTCCTGGATACACCCTCAGAGCCTGGCACCTAGTGGGTAATCAGGGAAGATTGAGTAACAGACCTTCAGTGTCTGGGGCTCAGTCAAACACAATTCCAGACGCCTCAAACAACTCAGCCCCACTCCTAGCTGGCACCCAGTAGCCACACATTAAATGTTTACTGAGCTGAACTTGGCATGTGACTCATACTTAAAAGACCTCAGTATCTCTTCTGAAAGTATGACTTCACAGACATGCCTCCCTCCACGGATGAAATTTTACAATCACGCCTCTCCCATTGACCCCGAGGTAACATGTATAAAACCACGTTACTGTATGAGAATTCACAGCCTTCTCTCTCCTGCCTGGACTGGAACTGGGGCTTGGAGAAGAAAGGAGCAAGTTTAGGTGCCAGCTGCTGTGAATACGAGATGTATGAAGAGAAAGGTGGAGAAAATGGATTTTAAAACTTTTAACAAAAGTCCTGACTTTTGTTAGGACTAGAATCTCTTTAGGCATCTTTTTCAAGGCTAAAGTAAAGATTTTAAATGGTTGAAACTATTGTTGTTTTGACTGTTGTTTTTCTTGCTGTTGTTATTTTAATGCACTGCGGGGGAGAGGCAGGCCCCAATACAAGAATGAGAAGGCCCATTTTTTTTTTTTTTGGTGAGGAAGGTTAGCACTGTGCCAGCATCTGTTGCCAATCCTCCTCTTTTTGCTGAGGAAGATTGGCCCTGGGCTAACATGCGTGTCCATCTTCCTCTATTTTATATGTGGGATGCCTGCCACAGGATGGCTTGATAAGCATAGGTCCACGCCCGCAACCCGAGCCTACAAACCGCTGGCCGCGGAAGTGGAGGCGGGGAACCCAACCACTATGCCACGGGACTAGCCCCAAGAAGGCCCATTTTTATATGGTAGTATCATTCAAGACTTAATCTGGGCAAGGACACAAACTCCAAACTAGCTGAAGCAAAAAACGAATTCTACAGGCTCACAACATTGGGAAATTCAAGGGTAGGTGTGGCTATGGGACAGCTCGAGCAGAAAAAGATTCTGATTGGCCTGGCTTGGGTCACATGCCAGTCCTGAACCAATCGTTGTGGTCAGGGACGATAGAATACTCTAACTGGCCAGAGTGGATAGCATGACCTCCCCTGAGGTAGGAGGAGTGAATGGAGCACCCTGATTGACAGCCCCTCCAACCAGGCGGAGTGGAGGAAGGGTGGCTCCCCAAAGAATGGATGCTGCAGAGACAAACAATATATACCCACTACAGAGGGTTACATATGACGAGACCTCAGAGATCATCTACACCAACATCCTACCTGAAAGTCTCCTTTCTCTGATATCCTGGAAAGATGGGCATCCATATGCTGTTTGGAATCTTCCAGTGATGGGCTCTCACTACCCTTTGTGGCTGCCAATTCTGTTTCTGAACAATTCCAGTTAGGAACATCTCCCTTAAATTGATCTACCTCTTTTTTTTTTTTTTTTTGGTGAGGAAGATCAGCCCTGAGCTAACATCCATGCCAATCCTCTTTTTGCTGACGAAGACTGGCCCTGAGCTAACATCCATGCCCATCCTCCTCCACTTTATATGGGACGCCGCCACAGCATGTCCTGACAAGCAGTGCATCAGTGCGCGCTGGGGATCTGACCCCGGGCTGCCATTAGTGGAGCGCGCGCACTTAACTGCTACGCCACGGGGCCGGACCCCGTTGACCTACCTCCTTGTAGCTTCCTGCAATCATCTAGCTCTCCTTTTGGGGCCTCACAGAATAAAACAAAGCTCTCCTCTCAGTGTCAACCTTTCAAATGCTAAGGTCTCCGGATCCTTCTTATCAGATGCTGTAGGAATGACGACCATTTTCCCGGGGGGTAAGAGCTCCAGCCTGGAAATCAGGAGACCTGGACCCCACCCTCATTCTGCCTTAAACGCAGAGGAGTGGCCACCCTGAGAGCAGTGTACACTGTTCCCATTCTTACACATGCAGATACCGTGCCCCCAAAATTCATATGTTGAAATCCTAACTCCCAAAGTGATAGTATTTTGAGG